TGGAGGGTCTGGTGCTTATGATGACAGACCATTTAGCTGGTGGTAATGGAGTAAAAAACAGGACAGTAAAAATTACTGTCAAGAGTGATTTCTGCTTAGAATCATCCTGATCTAACTTTCTGTCCTGTGAAATAATTCAAGCTGACGTAAGAGCTTATTAATAGAAGCTTCTCGGATTCCAAATTCCAATATCCCACCTTCAGCAATTTCATTCAGTTTGAACTGGGGAGTGGTGTAACATGGTATGGAACATTTAAAGCTGATGGCTACTGGTAGCCTTAATGTAAGTACTCGTAGCTGCTATGGCAGCAGATGCTGTCTTAGTTTTGTTCACCTACACATTCTGTTCTTGATGGCCAAGTCTCCTGACCCGCTTTACTGTCCACATCAGCAGTATATGTAGGTTATTACTTTTTTCTGGGTGACTTTGGATTTCCATCAAGAAAATGAAAGGGCACAGTGCATCTTCTTCACCTTAATTTCTTTTTCCTGTTTCTAGCTAAAATGGATTTTGTTTTGAGTCGGAATGATAAGATCCCCAGCCAGTTCCGTGTGCATATTGTGCCTTACTTTTTGTCCTTGAGAAGCTATAATGGGAAATACAGCTAAAGTAGAAACATACTGAAGAAATATAGGTAAGACAATCATCTCTTTAATATACAGTTTAGGGAAGCAAATTTGGAGGTCTTATTGTGAACATCAGAAATGCATAATCAAGCCAATCTAACATCCTCTGCAACGGGAAGCTTGTGGACAGGGGAAAGCCACATGTGATACTGTTACAGAGCAGGCTAAGGAAATAAGACACAGATAAAAAAAGCTATTTTAGGATGTGTGTAAGATCATTAGGTTTACAGTAGCGAAAGTTTTATTTCTCAATAGTTCACTTTCAGCAAGGGAAAGTATACTGAATGGGATTTTGTGCGCTTGTTTTAGTTTATTCTTGTTCATGAACTGGGTAATGGAATAGTGTATGTATGGCTGTGGTTGGAAAACTTACGTAAAAGAACACGATGCAATTTAGAAGAAATTAAATTATTTATATTCAGTTCAAAACAACATAAAAATAAGAGGAGGAGTGCAAGTGTTGAAATTGTTCCTGCCACCCTGTTTCCCATGCCCAGCTAAGACAAACAATGGATTGTATGTCTTCTGAGTGCCCGGCCCCCTGAACTGGAAGACAGGTATGAGGAGCAGAATGAAGGACCCATAATCCAAGAGGAAATGGTCAGTGACCTACTAAACCACTTAGACCCACACAAGTCTATGCGGCCGGATGGGATCCACCCAGGGGTACTTAGGGAAGTACTCACCAAGCCACTTCCATCATTTATAAGCAGTCCTCACTAGCCAGGGAGGTTCTACTTGACTGGAGATTAGCAAATGTAACACTCTTCTACAAGAAGAGTCAGAAGGAGGATCTGGGGAACTGTAGGCCTGTCTGTCTGACCTTGGTGCCAGGGAAGGTTACGGAGCAGGTCATCTTGAGTGCCACCATGCAGCATGTACAGGACAGCCAGGCGATCAGGCCCAGTTGGCATGGGTTTTTGAAAGGCAAGTCCTGATTGACGAACCTGATCTTCTATGACAAGGTGACCTGCATAGTGTACGAGGGAAAGGCTGTGGATGTTGTTTATCTGGCCTACAGTAAAGCTTTTGACACTGTTGCCCACAATATTCTGGAGAAACAGGCTGCTCGTGGCTTGGATGGGTGTACTCTTTGCCAGATAAAAAAAATCTGCTGGCTGGCCAGACCCAGAGAGTTGTGAATGGTGTTAAATCCAATTGATGGCTGGTAACAAGTGGTGTTCCCAAGGGACCAGTATTTGGCCCAGTCTTGTTTAATATCTTTATCGGTGATCTGGATGAGGAGATCAAGGGCATCCTCACTGAGTTTGCAGATGACATCAAGCTAGGAGAGTGTGTGGTTCTGCTTGAAGGTAGGCTCTACAGATGGTTCTGGACAGGCTGGATTCATGGGCTGAGGCTGATGGTATGACGTTCAACAAGGCTAAGTGCTGGGTCCTGCACTTGGGTCACAACAACCCCATGCAACACTACAGGCTTGGGGAGGAGTGGCTGGAAAGCTGCCAATAGGAGAAGAACCTGGGCGTGTTGGTCAATAGGTGGCTGAATATGAGCCGGTAGTGTTCCCGGGTGGCAAAAAAGGCCAACAGCATCCTGACTTGTATTAGAAACAGTGTGGCGAGCAGGACTAGAGAAGTGATTGTTCCCCTGTACTTGTCACTGGTGAGGCAGCACCTCAAATACTGGGTTTGGTTTTGGGCCCTTCACTAGAAGAATGACATCGAGGTGCTGGAGCGTGTCCAGAGAAGGGTAACAAAACTGGTGAAGGGTCTAGAGCACAAATCTTATGAGGAGCAGCTAAGGGAAGAACTCACTCTCTACAACTATCTGAAAGGAGGTCGTAAAGAGGCAGGTGTTGATCTCTTCTCCAAGTAATAAGTGATAGGACAAGAGGAAACAGCCTCAAGTTGTGTCAGGGGAATTTTAGACTAGATAGTAGGAAAAAATCTTCCTCGAAAGGGTTGTAAAGTATTGGAACAAGCTGCCTGAGGAAGTGTTGGAGTCACCATCCCTAGAGGTATTTAAAAGACATGTAGATGTGGTGCTTAGGGACATGATCTAGTGGTGACCTGACAGTGTTGGGTTAGTAGTTGGATTTTATGATCTTGAAGGTCTCTTCCAACATAAATGATTCTATGATTCTATAAAATGAGAGTTAACAATGCAGCGTCGTTCAGAAAGAAGAGGTGTGTGTATGTATTGGCATGAATGGTGGTATTATCTGGAGGACATGTAGAATTGAACCTTCTGCTCTGTATTCTAAGGTTAAAGTACTGTGACAGTTTTGGCCATTGTACTTCAAGAAAGATGTAGGCACAGTTAATTTACCTCAGGAGGGTAATGGTAATGACTGGTGATTTAGAAAAGATTGTATGTGCAGACAGAATGATTGAATTGGCATTTCCGTAACCCAGAGAAAAGATCAAGGGAAATTATAAGCTTTCAAGGGTGGTGAAGTTCATTACAAAACGTGAACATCTGCCCTTGGTAGATGTGGCTGGCTTACTGATGGCAACATGGACCGTTCTATGTGTGTCCAGATCTCATCGTTCACTTTTTGTGTGTTTTATAAGAGCTCTTTCTGTCCCATGTCTGGACAGCACTGAGCAAAGAGCCTGTTGTCTTAGGATCCTTTGAAGAAACGTATAAATTAGCAAAACCACTGACATATGCAACTTCATCTAACCAGATACATGTATGGAAAGATACTTCAGTTAAAACTCTTCAGCCGAGAGAAGGAAACTTGCTTGCTGCTTAGCTAGTAATGGACTAGTTTTCCTATCTGTAAAAATGGAACGTGTTCTTCACCTCTGTAAGGCACTTGAAGGTGTTTTTTTTTTGAATAAAAGTGATACAAAAAGGCTCATTTAACACAAGCAACTCAGATTTTTTTTTTTTTTTTTTTTTTTATTGTGTAATGCATGGTACAGTGCAGTGTGTAAGGCCTAGTCAGATATATCATGAAAGTCTGTGTTAACATTCTTGAAGGCTGTGACTAATCTGCTTTGATAAAGGTGGTTGGGTCTCTTTGGAATTATGTAATGATCTCTTAATACTTAGCACTTGCAGAAAGGTAATGGTCATGTGGTAAAAAATTATATTATTTCTGGGAGATCCATAGCCAGTTCATTCAGAACTCACTGTAAGCCACTTGTGTGGATATACAACTGCTTCCTATTCTTATTCTATCAGTATGCTTTATCAGTATTTTGATAATCTATCCTCGAGTGGAGAAACAAAATTAGGAATTGAGATGTTTTGCCTTTCTACTTTGATATACAAAAAAAGTGGAAAACTGGCAAGTATTGTATTTACTTCACTTGCCTCATCACTGGAGTAATAATTTGTTTCAGAAGAGCAGCTGACAAACATCTTTCCTATCACTAGCAATCTGAGCTTTCCTTGCCATGTATTTCCTCCATACAGTCATGCTATCATAGTGTCAGCATCTAATTTTTTTTTCTCCCTTGTACATAATTTTTCATCTGGACAGAGAATACATAAAGCTAACGGTGTGAACAGGTAGAGCAATAAACTTGAATTACTTAATAGGCTCATGTATATAATATGGCAAATACAACATATAAGCTCACAATATATGGCAAATTTTGCTCAACTGTAGGCAAGTCACAGTTGTATTAAAAATAGGAAAAATCTTTCTTCTCTGTTAAGATATTTTGTTTACTCTTCAGCTGCTTAGAATTTTCTGCAGACATTGCTATATTAAAGGAAGAGATCTGAAGGAATTCCATAGTGCTAAAATTTTAAAAGGTAACACTTGGAAAGTCTCAGACATCATTTTTCAGGTATCAATTTTTTAGAAGTGAAAAAACATTACTTAAGCATCTGTGTTAGTTTAACAACTTTTTTTTTTTACAAAAGCTGTCATTATAAATGTTAATGTTTAACTTGTGGGTGCAAGATGAAAGAATGTAAAAAAGCCTACATCCATAGACTAAAATATGTATAAGAATTTAGTCCAGAAGAGTGATAACTGGGGAGTGGCTCATATGGATGTGTGCTGTGGAGGAGGCTGTTCTCTGGCCTTACTGAGAACAATTCATAGTTCGTTGTGCTAAGTGTTCATGATTGGATAGAGTGCGACGTACATGGAACTCAAAAATAGATAACTGCTTATTTGGGAGGACAAGCAGTCCTCCCACTTAAATTATACAATCTGAGAGGCTAAAAATTTTTGATGACTTGTTCCACCTCTCCACTCTACCCTGCATATGTTTTCCTTACAGGCTTAGTTCACTGCCTCTTCTTAGAAGCAGTCTTTTAGCTCCTCTCTTGCACAGGATTTTGGATTTTGAAGTCTTAAATGCTGGGAAGCTTTCCTTCCCTTCTACCTCAAGCTCTGCCAGAACTGAGTCTGGAACTTATCTGAATTTCTTTTGTTCTTCTAGGGCAGCCTTAAGACCTTGTGGATGGAAGACCTCTTTTGCTTCTACATTCATGTCAGAATGGCCTAGGCTGGTCTCTTGCTCTACGGTTCCTATCACAAGGACTCTACAGCGATGTATCAGAATTTTGCCGTCAGTGCTAGTGGACTATCCAGATGCCTGTAAACCTGCAGAGGAGGTTAGTACAAAAGGTGACCCAGGAATTCTTGACATTTTGGTCAGGTCTGTCTGCTTTGGATTTATCTTAGAGCAAAGGGAGGACTTAAGAGACTGCATGTATGCTACTACTGTGTCATTGCATTAGGTTTGTGTGGCAGGGTCTTGGTAGCCGAGGTGCTTCAGCAGTGGCTTTTGTCAGAAGGTGCTAGAAGCCTTTGCTGTGTCAGAGCCAATGCCAGACAGCTTCAAGACGGACCCACCGCTGGCCAAGGCAAGCCCATCAGCAATGGCAGTAGTATGTCTGTGATAATATATTTAAGAAGGGGTATAAAAAAAAAACACACCTGCACAACTACAGCCAAAGAGAGGAATGACCATATGTGAGTGAACAACTCTGCAGACAATAAGGTCAGTGAAGAAGGATGGGGAGAGGACATGGTCCAGGCTGCGGAGCAGAGATCGCCCTGCAAGCCATGGTGAAGACCATGGTGAGGCAGGCTGTCCTCTGGAAGCCCATGGAGATTGACAGTGGAGCAGATATCCACCTGCAGCCCATGGAGGTCTCTATTCCAGAGCAGGTGGGTACCCAAAGGAGGCTGTGATCCTCTGGGAAGCCCATGCTGGAGCAGGCTACTGGCAGGACCTGTGGGGGGATCTGGACTGGAGCAGTCTGTCCTTGAAGGATTACACCCTGTGGAAGGGACCCACACTGGAGCACCTCATGAAGAATTGTATCCTGTAGGAAAGACCCATGTTGAAGTTTGTAGAGGACTGTTTCCTGTGGGAGGGACCCCATGCTGAAGCAGGGGAAGGGTGTGAGGAGTCCTCCCACTGAGGAGGGAGTGGCAGAGACAATATGTGATGAACTGACTGCAGTTCCCGTTCCTTACCCCCTGTGTCACTGCAGGGGGAGGAGACAAGAGAATTTGGGGGTAAAGTTAAGTCTGGGAAGAAGGGAAAGGTGGGGGGAAGGCATTTAAAGATTTAGTTTTTATTTCTCCCTACTCTGATTTAGTTAGTAATGAATTAAACTAATTTCCCCAAGCTGGGTCTGTTCTGTTCAGAACATTTGTTCTGTTCTTCCCCAAGTTGGGTCTGTGATGGGAATTGCCGAGTGATCTGTCCCTGCCCTTATCTTGACCCATGAGCCTTTCATTGTATTTTCTCTCCTCTGTCCAGCTGAGGAAGGGAGTGATAGAACGGCTTTGGCCACCTGACATCCAGCCAGGGTCAAACCACCACATGCATATTCCATATTTTTCTGTTCCTTCAGGGTCCTGGTGGACCAGTTCAGTTATCTGCAGCTGTTAAACAGGTGGCCCTAAGATTCCCTTTAGATATTAGCACAACACTGTGGTTGTGTCTGGGTATTGGAAGTACAATGTTCAAGTGTGTAAAGCACCCTGTTTTTAGTTCTCCTGAACTTTGCTCTCAGTACAATGTGATCTTGAAAAGGGTGATCTAGGTCAAGAACTCGAATTCAGATCAATCTTCCACCCAACTGAACTAAAAAAGCTGGGTTTTTACTTTGTGTGTCTACAGTAAACACAGCTCTCTTAACACATCCTTCTCAGACAAGAGAGGACTTAAACTACCGCTGTGTAGTCACTGGCTACCAATGAGGTATTCAGCAACTGAGTTCTTGTCAAGGCTTTTCTCTGTGTGCATCTCCCACTTGCTATTATTTTTTTAAGCTTGATTGAAACAAGACAGAGAAACAAAGTTTAGCAATAGACTGGCAAAGATGTGGTATGAAAGGTCTGTTTTCTTTGGCAGAGTGGATTAACCAGTTCTGTTGTATTTAGTGTGTTAAATGCTGTCCTCCATGTGATATCCTCAGTATTAACTTTTGTGCTTATTTTTCAACTTGATGTCTTTTTCCTGCAAACCTCTTAGCACCTCTCGTAAGATTAGTTTTCACAGACTGAGTTCTGAAGAACCCATTGGTGTCAATTTTGAAGCTCATTTTCAGTGTGGCAAAAAGGAAAAAGCCTGTTTCAGGTCTAAGTGGATCATTTTCCAGTTAACTTCAAAAGACCTTAATTTGGGATGTACTCTTAAATTCAGTGCTAAAAAATTAGAGATTGGACAAGCATAAGTTTAGGCATGACAGAAGAAATATATTAAAAAATACTACCTAATACTGTAAATTATAGTAGAGGATACTCAGAATAAAAAAAATAAGGTAAAAAAAGAGCAAATTTTTTATTTCTGGATTTACTGCTTATGACCTTGTAAGCTGTAGCTCCACTGGTATTTCTTTTACTGTAGCCCAGCCACCTCTTCTGTGCTTGTTGAGTCTAATGGTGAGTTCAGTGAGATTTCAGTGAGATTTGAGTGGAAATCCTAGAATCATGGAACATTTTGATTGGAAGGGACCTTTAAATGTCATCTGGTCAACCCCCTCTGCAGTAAGCAAGGAGGACATCTTCAACTAGATCAGGTTGCTCAGAGCACTGTCTAGCCCGACCTTGAATGGTTCTAGGTATGGAGCATCTGCCACCTCTCTGGGCAACTTGTTCCAGTTTGTCACCACCCTCACTGTAGAAAAGAACTGCTGTTGTGGAGGACACCTGATCGATCTGCATTCTTTGGTTTGAGTCTGCACTGGGAGACTGATGTCACTGAAAACACACAGTTATTCTTTGTTCTTTTTCAGTTGTATCAGTTCCCTGGCTGAGTTTCTTGGTTAGTGTATAAGTTTTTGCTGGCAGAGCAGAAGGCTGGCATGTTAGAATGAGAGAGAACGTGGAGTAGCAAGTGGGTATGCGGTACACAAGTGTTTAGATGAATCTCTAGCTATGGTCTAGCCATGTGGCGTGGCTTCTCAGGCATGTCTACTCCTCCTTGTTGTAAGGATTCTAGTATTTTCAGGGAAGTTGAAAATCTTTCAGAAAAGTAACTGTAAAGTAATTTTAATTGAATTGGAGCACAATATTTTAAGAGACCTAAAGTATCTGATTTAAATTTAAAAAGTGATTGTTTTCCTCAAATGCTGCGGTCTCCAATTATGTATAGCTAAATTTGCAGAACAGTTCCATCATATTCAATTTTTTTTATATTTTCTGACAGATTAACCTTTTTTATAGTGATCTATCTTTCTCTTGGCTTCAAGTCAGGTATGAGTTTTGAATTGTAAAAAACTTTAAGCTGCTACCAGCTTTATACTATCAAAAATGGTGTATCAAATGAAATAAATTAGCTTTTTCACAAAGTGCCTGCCAACTTCTTAAAAAAAATTGGCAAAGTAATAACCACTTAAGTATTTGAAGGAACTTAAGTAATTTAATGAAGTCTAATACATCTCTGCCATACCTAATGTCTTACTGATTGTTTTCTCTATGCAACTATGCAGAAAATTGTTAACACCAATCTCAGTGGTAACTAGGATAAAAGTGAACTGTTTCAAGAAATAATCTTTCTGCTTTAAATTGCATATCACACTCTTCCAGTTTCTCTGCATTGCTGCACAGTGCTGCAAATAACACATTATACACTTTATTTACTACTTCCTCTACTGATGCAATGCCTATATTTTGATATGGCTATTTTATTTACATTTGCCAAACCTTTTTTATATTAGGATGAAAACTTAGAAGTTAAGCCAGATGGAAACCTTTTTTTGTAAGCACTAGCTGTAAGAACATAGTCTTAAAATTTAATGTGTGATTCAATCTGCTTTTTTTTTTTCTACAGTATTAAGAAATAAAATCCAGCAATATTGGAAAAGCATTTATTACAGAATGCTGATAATGTAGCATTTTCTTGTGAAAATAACTTTTCATGATCTAAGTAAAAACTAATTTTTTGCGGTTTATTAATTTTTCTTCTACTGTTTTTTTTTATAGATAAACTGAAAACATGAGAGGTTTTTTTTTTGTTTAAAAAAAAAGGCACAAATTCTTGAAACCATTAACAAAACAGGATTGTTATTTCTATAGAACTCACCTTTTCCATACTACTACTTTTGATCAAATGTGAATTTAAAAAATAAAAGAAACCTGACATTCAGTGAAGTTGAACAGTGGGAAGAGTGCACAGTGATTCTGTTTAAGTTTTGGAAATCCAAACTGTGTATCTAATCCTGCACAAATACTGTGATTACAGTGACTTGATCAGGCTACCCAAGAGCATCTTTAAACTTATATTTGCCTGTTTGTTTTAGACCACCTTCTTTCTTGTTACATTTTCCTCTCCTTATTAAGGGTACACCTCTTATAATGGTATGTCCAGAGTGTAGAAGTAAGTTCATTTTGAAAAGCTATAAACCCAAGATGCTCTCTGTCATTGTTGTCTGGATTTAAATGCAACATGTTCTTGGTCTCAGTGTTCATACTTTATATTTTTACGTTTCAGCATACCAAGTTTAACTAGTGATTTTTTTAATTATTTGGAAGTACTACTCTAGTGAATATGAAGAGGATTAAAATATTTACTGTACTATTGGAGATGAGTCTAAGAAAAGTCTTCAACGTAGCCACCATTTAGTTTGTCTGTTAACACTGGCAAACTAAGTCTTCATTTCTAATTATTTTTATTTTTTTTTGTAAGGTTATCTAATATATTTGTTTTGCAGCAGGGGGGAGAGAACAAAGTTGTTCAAAATGAAATTATTAGACTGGATTTCCTTTTAGTCCTTTTTAGTCTTCTTGTTTTCTTGTATAGTCTCAGTATTCTGTACTTAAAAGTGAATTTATTCTGCTAGCTGCCCATGTATTGCCTTCCTTTTGTTTGCCATTAGACTTCTCTGCCAATTTGTCATGACTGTTCAGTTGGGTGTTTTGTTTCGTTTGTCTACCAGTCTAGCTTTTTCACTTATTTGTATTTGTAGGGACTGCTAATGTAAAAATGGTTTAATTTATTTGCATTAGGACTGGTGTATTACCTGGGTGGATCAAGCTGAGTTTTCGCCCCTCCGTTTATTGGATTATGGAATCTCTGCCTGCTGATAATTTACAATGAGCTAGGAATATGTCCATGGTCAATTATAATTCCTGTGTTCAGGTCCATCATTTTTAA